TTGGCACTTCATATATTGAGGACTGCATCTCCCATAATGCTCTTACAGCCAGGATGCAGGCAAAGCATCATGGGAGGTGTAGTCCAAACATCTGGAGTGCCAAAGGTTGCCTACCCCTGCTATAGAGTGTGGTGGTGGAGGGCACCCTTTACAGTTTCTCTGCAAAGATCCAATGTAACCATGTAGAGAAATGCTGTCAGAACAGGAATAAGAGGAAGGTAAAGTGATGGTGTAAATGTTGTTTCTCATTGCTAACCCATGTATGGACATTGGACAACAGATACAGGGTGCGCTAAATAAAATGAAAGAGTCTCTATAGGTATAATGTAGATCTTGGGTGACTGTTCTTCTATTCTTGCTTTGGAATCTCCGTAGTCAGATATGGAATACAAAAGCAGAGAGGGGGGGAACCGAATAGTGCAAAACCGTAATGCTGGGAGGATCACGAACAACACAGACGTGGAGAAATGCCAACTTACAATTTTTAGAGCTACGTCCAGCTCTAGGTAAAACAGCATACAGTGGTATTTAATACTCCCCACATGTAGGATATTACTGGGCAAATTGGAGGTGACTCCACACGATTCTTTACACCTTCTCAGACAAACGTCAGCATATAAAATATATAAAAGAAGGAAAATCCAATGGTGCAATAACTAAGGTAATATTGCAACGACAGACAACACTGAGGTCCTAAGAGTGCCAACTTACAATTTTTAGAGCTATGACCAGCTCTGAGTAAAACAGCATACAGTGGTATTTAAACTCCCCACGTGTAGGATATTCCTCTAATGATGCTTGCAGTGCCGGACTTATGAAAATAAAATCACAAGAGAGGGCCCATAGTGTTTTCCATATATAAAATAACAGAAAAATAAAAAGAAACGTACTTACAGTGTTCAGAGCAGGCGTACTGCTCTATGAACCAGGCGTAGGTGGAATAATCCCCACCTGGGATTTCTTTTGAAGTACTGGGTCTTGTTAAAAAAGGAAATCAGCCAGGATAAAACAGCAACATATAAAGTAAATGAACTAACCCAAGATAAGAGGTAGTCTCAAAATACTTTAATATAAAACAAAGTAAAATAGTGTATTTTACTCCCCCCCTCTCTGCTTTTGTATTCCATATCTGACTACGGAGATTCCAAAGCAAGAATAGAAGAACAGTCACCCAAGATCTACATTATACCTATAGAGACTCTTTCATTTTATTTAGCGCACCCTGTATCTGTTGTCTGTTGTTCTCTTAATTTTTGAAGGGTTTGAGGGTTACCCTTCCTTTCAGGTGTGCAGCTCTATCCCCCTTTGTGATCAGTACTGTAGCGCTGTTCCCCCCCCCCTTTTTTTTACTACATGTATGGACATTGTTGGAAAAGAAGAGATTACAGCTAGTAAAACATGTGATGTACTATCACAAGTAATATTTCAAGTGTTTTTATGGAACCATTGTTTGATAATATGGCCTTTTTAAACCTATTGTCAGTTTCCTTATATGTATCTCTTAAAGTTAACCAATTGTTTAGCTAGATACTGACTGCACATCTGGCAATATCTGGATACATAACTTTTACCTCTTAAGTGCTTATTCCCATCACCCTTTAGATTGCTATATAAATAAAAATAATAATAATTATAATAAATTAGCTAAATAAAGAATAGCAGCAAACTATGCAGTAAAAAATTGCACAGTCTTAGCCCGCTATCCCATTTGAGTGAGGGTGGCTGTCTACAATAGGAATATATATATTCTCTGAGAAAATCACTAAAATATACACTTTGCCATCTCTTGGCTAAATATACCTTCTGAATGCGTTCACATGGATTATGAGTATACATCTTAAATCTTAACAAATTAAAAGGTCCAGGAGCACTAAGAAGTAAAAAAAAAAAAATGCTGTGTTTTGGTGTTTTGGCATATTCATTGTGTATACTGTATCTATGGATAAGGTTAGAGAAAGAAGCAAGATTATGGTTTGTAGCAAAAGCAAATTTGCGTAGATCCAGGTTTATGGAATTAAGATATTTCCATCCACTGGAATCTGAAAACCACATCTAAGTACTGGTAAAATGTCCCTGAGTAATCCAATGTGGCAGTAAGTTATCTCCCAATTAAATTACATTTCATAACTATGGGCAGGGAGAGTGAGGGCATCGCCGACACATTGTCACGTTGATCCTTCGATTTTTCCCCATACAAACTGACAATTTTGGAAGAACTTACGTTCAAGCATAGTGTAAAATGTTGCATTTGTAGTGACACTAGTAGAAATAACTCATTAATCACAGTGGCCTTTCCATGTACCAGCTCACAGGAAACCTGTGGCTTAAACAGTGTTCTCCCCACCCCCCCAAATGTTTTAAGTAACAATGAGTGAGATGTTTATGTAAGCTGAGACTTATTTTTATTTTACGTGATTTCAATACGTCACTTGTGTGAAAATACCACTGATCTGTTTATGATCTTATAAGAAGTTCAGTTCAGTAAATTTTAAATTAATGTTAAACATCAAAAACAGATGAATAATTTCTTTTCATGGGAGATTCATTTTTGTTTCGATACTTTATTTATTTAATAACCTTGTAGCACAATGTGCATCATATTTTTTTTTAATGTACTTACTCAAGGAAGCAACAATGTTTGATTTTATATTTCCAAAACTTTTTTCTTTTATGAGCAACTTCTAATGCTAAAAAGTAAATGCACATGGTGAATCAGCTCCTAACTATCCACATACATTTTGATTCACCACCTACTTTTTCATTTTTATAGTTTTAGCATTGTTTTATTATTTGCATAGAAGTGTTGTGGATGGGTTTAACTATTAGTGTTGTGAAGAAGACATAATTAATTATTGTGAGCTCCAAAAGTTCTTATTTAATATCTTAAAGGATTATTTCATGACCAATTTACTGATATGAAGTGATGGCTAATGTTAATTCTGTGCATATTTGGTGCCTGATATTAGGATACATAGCATATTGGTGCCAGGCAATGATGGCAGTCCCCTCCCTCCAGTGAGGGGGAGTTACATCAACAGAAAAGGATCAGACTGCACATAGGACTTGACATTGGTTCTGGAACAGATGTACATTTTTCAGGGGGGTTGGGGGAATCAATATTAGAAGGGTTACTCTGGCCAAAACAGTGTTTTCTTAAAACACTGTTTTTTTTTTGTTCTAAACCTCTATTCCTTTGTAATTTCATAGCATCATTTGACCTTGATCATGATGAAATGCATGGGAGATGACATATATTACTTAATCTCTTCTGGGATTTCACAGCATAATTTGAGCATGATTACGGTAAAATGCGTGGGTGGCAATGCAATGTTTTATTTCCCCAGTAATGATATTGTGACAGTTATTTGTGGCTGTTTACTATGTGTAATATATGTTACTTTTACACCTGTATTTTATTGATATTATAACTTTGTAAAATCATATCTATTATCAGAAAAGCTTAATACATTTTATAAAGATTAAATATCTCCGAGAACAGAGTACATGCATAGTGCACGGTGATCAAACATTACAAAGCATTCAGGGGCAAATATTAACATGACTGATTACTGAATCAGACAAATAGGACTACAAAATATGCCAATAAAACTTAATTTTGCAGAACACTTTTTTTTTAAAACATCCACGTTAAGCAACTGATAATTCACATTGCAGATGTGATCCCTTAATATTTATTTAATACACTTTAGTTTTAAGCAATGTAATTGCCTGCTAATAAATTTACAATATGAAAAAGAGAAAAATTGGCAACTCTACGGAAATATAGGATTTTGTTTCCAACCGCACTGTAGAATCAAAGTGGCAGAGTATTACAGGTGCTTACTTTGACTACAGTAAAAATATGTGACACCTTTCTGGTTTCCGGCTGGAAAAAAATATTTGATTTTCAATCATCTTTGCAAAAAAATCTCAGTTGGAAAGGATTTTAGGATTATATCCTGCTGTTCACTGGAAAATGATAAAAGAAGTGTCTACGGCAAGAGTATAAATAGATAAAACACTTGTAAGAAAAAAAAAAAAAAAATGTAGCACAGACATGTAATAAAATGTAATTGCTGTTAGTTTTGAAACATCGTGGCAATAACTTACTTTGCCACTTGCCAGTCTAGAATATATCTAGAACATGGGGGAGAATAAATAAATAAATAAATAAAGGGACACTATAGTCACCCAGACCATTTCAGCTCAATGAAGTGGTCTGGGTGTCAGGTCCCTCAGGTTTTAACCCTTCAGATTCAAACAAAGCAGTTTCAGAGAAACTGCTATGTTTACATTTGGGGTTAATCCAACCTCTAGTGGCTGTCTTCTGGACAGCCACTAGAGGCGCATCTGCGACACTGAAGGCACATTTCGCCTCCATCGCGCAGAGCGTCCATAGGAAAGCATTGCCGCACATGCGCATTCGCCTCCGCTGACGTCAGACAGGGGGAGCTGACGTCGGCGGGGGAGGAGAGGTCACCAGCGCCAAGGGAGCCCAGCGCTGGATTAAGGTAAGCTGCTGAAGGGGTTTTAACTGGTTTCACAAATAAACAAGACATGTCAGAGGATATACCGTACATGTCAATAGAACTGCACGTTTTATCTTTTTTAAAGTAAGATATAACATTACTCAGTGCATGGGAAATTAACTTGAGAGGTATCTGACAAATAGGCTTAACCTACATACTGGTAGAGATTATAACTATGATTGGTCTGAATAAAAGAAATAAAATAAAATACAAATATGCAAGGCAGAACTAACAGGCAGTATTTACCACTTTTTTCGAGGTTACCACATATGGTGTGTATGCAAAGATTAACATGGTAACTGGGAGCGAAACATGACCATAGAGAGCAAACACATCTCTAGTCTAGATATTAGGGTGGATGGATGGCAGCCAACTCAGCTGATGACTCTGGGATGGGGGACACTGCCTCTATAGCACTGGGGTCCATTGAACTGTGAGGGGAGACCCCACTAGCTCCAAACACTGATGCAGGCCCACGCTGCTCCTCTGGGACACCCGTCCAGACTGACCTCCGAGACTGGACCTCTGGATGGACTCCTCACATGCTGTTAGTGCAGCTGAACAGCATCCCTACAATGACACGATGTGTGGCTCACACGGGAGCGCCGATGTGTGACCTGATGGCAGGATTCAATCAAGGACCGACCACGAGGCAGCGTCTACTTTGGTCTCCGCCTTCACCATCTCACCATCTGCTCCCTGCGGAAGAGGCTCTCGAAAGATCCCGCTGGATCCCCGCTGTCGAAAGCTTGGGTATGGGCCGTGACGCCCGGCTTGTCAGGTAGCATGATTTTAACTCAGGTAGCAATTCTGTCCCAGAATTTGGCGCATATCTTATTGAATGCCAACAGGAACGGGTCAGGCTGGGGAGGTACCTGCAAGTTTGTACTCCTTGCATTGCCAGCCATCTTAGGTAGCAGGCCTCTGGCATCTGGCATTGGCATAGGTGATTACTCCACTTATAAAATCTATGCCATAGTGTAATTTATTTAAACACATGATGCTGTCAGAAACTGCTTCAAAAGGGATCCTGAAACATTGAATGTCATGGACAAAATCAAAATAAATGCTAGGGTGAACTACTAAACTCTAAAAAGACCAGACTTAAGACTGCTGCCCTCTCTCTTGCTCCATAGTTGAAGTAATGGTATCAGGCCTCTGGCTGTCTGGTGCACGTCCATGTGACCCCCAGTGGCGGGCCGCAGGTATTGCCATGTGTCATGTCTCCCAGGAATCAAAGATACCAGGGATAAATGCACTCTCAGAGGAAGCCACAGGACAGCCCATTAGGTGACTACATTTAGCCAGCACAAGCCAAACACAGCCCTGGCAAATCACCACATCTTCATAGAGATGCATTGAATAAATGCATCTCTATGAGGAACGTTCAGTGTCTGAATGCAGATGGTGCACTGCCCAGGGAAGCACCTCTAGCAGCCATCTGAGTGACCAGTGGATGCATCTCTAGTCTGTAATGTAAACATTGCTTTTTCTCTACAAAAAGCCTGAAGGGAATGATTCTACTCAACAGAACGAAAACAATAAGCTGTAGTTGTTCTTGTGACTATAGTGTCCTTTTAAAGTGCCCTCACAAAGTCCCCATGGCAACTCTTAACACCTTCACATTGCTGACAGCCAGCAGAGGAGGGAGAGAGGACCCGGGAGCTCAGCCTGCAGCTCCTCCGTGTCCTCCCCTTGCGAGCACGGAGCGTTGCCGCGGTTACTGTGGCAATGCTCCTGATTTTGCGAGAGTGAACTTTAGCCTGAGCTACAGACTAGAGTTCACTCTCACCACTAGGACTGCCAGGGATTCTCCATCGGACCCCCATGGTTTGAGAGAGATCCCCTTCCCTGAGCAAAGATAAGAAGTGAGGGGGATCTAATGATTATTTATTTTAATTTAAAAAAACAAACACGTATACACCCTGTTCCAAATGATTATGCAAATTCTATTTAAGTGTCACAAAGATTAAATATTTTGTTTTTCAGTTTAACTCATGGATGGCATTGTGTCTCAGGGCTCTTTTGATCACTGAAAACAATCTCGAACACCTGTGATAATTAGATTGCCAAATGAGCCCAATTTAAGGAAAAACTACTAAAGGAGGGTGTTCCACATTATTAAGGAGAGCACCATTTTCATGCAATATGGGGAAGAAAAAGGATCTCTCTGCTGACGAAAAGAGTGAAATAGTTCAAGGCCTTGGACGAGGTATGAAAACATTAGATATTTCACGAAAACTTAAACGTGATCATCGTACTATTAAGAGATTTGTGGCTGATTCAGAGCATAGACGGGTTCGTGCAGATAAAGGCACATTGAGGAAGATTTCTGCCAGATCCATGCATTGGATCAAGAGAGCAGCTGCTAAAATACCATTACATAGCAGCAAACAGATATTTGAAGCTGCTGGTGCCTCTGGAGTCCCACGTACATCAAGGTGTAGAGTCCTCCAGAGTCTTGCAACTGTGCATAAACCTTCTATTCGGCCACCACTAACCAATGCTCACAAGCAGAAACGGCTGCATTGGGCAGAAAAATACATGAAATATTTTTCAAACAGTCCTGTTCACTTATGAGTGCCGTGCAACCCTGGATTGTCCAGATGGATGAAGTAGTGGATGGTTGGTTGACGGCCACCCTGTTCCAACAAGGCTGCAACGTCAGCAAGGCAATGGTGGAGTCATGTTTTGGGCCGGAATCATGGGAAGAGAGCTGGTCGGCCCCTTTAGAGTCCCCGAAGGTGTAAAGATGACCTCTGCAAAGTATGTGGAGTTTCTGACTGACCACTTTCTTCCCTGGTACAGAAGGACCGTAATAAAATCATCTTCATGCATGACAATGCACCATCTCATGCTGCAAAGAATACCTATGCATCAATGGCTGCTATGGGGATAAAAGGAGAGAAAGTCATGGTGTGGCCTCCATCCTCCTCTGACCTCAATCCTATTGAGAACCTTTGGAGCATCCTCAAGCAAAAGATCTATGAGGGTGAGAGGCAGTTTACATCCAAACAGCAGCTCTCTGAGGCTATTCTGACATCTTGCAAACAAATTCAAGCAGAAACTGTCCAAAAACTCACAAGTTCAATGGATGTAAGACTTGTGAAGCTGCCATCAAATAAGGGGTCCTAAGTTAAAATGGAACGTGACCTGTTGAAATGTTTAAAAAGTTATAATGTCGTTATAAATTTGATTGAAATAGCTTTTGATTTCAGTAAATATGCTGCAAACACAACAAATGACAATTTTCAGTTCTTTACAACCTATAAAGTGTTTTGAAACTTATGTGAGTAATAATCTGGAACAGTGCATTGTAAGTTTTTTATGTTTTAAAAAAATACTGTTATCATTAGGAGGTTTGTTCAATAAAATTTGAAATGTGCTCTTAATAGTTGATAACATGAGAATTATGCAATTATTTAGGTAAATGAGAAAAAATATAATTTGCATAATAATTTGGAACAGGGGTATATATATATATATATATATATATATATAAAAAAATATCTATATCTATATATATATATATATATATATCTATATATATATATATATATAGATATAGATATATATATATATATATATATATTAATCTTGCCCCCCACACAATAACTTTCATATTCACACAATGCCCCCCCACATATTTCCCACCCCACACAATGTACCCCCTTACACTGTACCCCTCATATACACACAAAGACTGCATCCCTCTATGCATCCCCCACACTGCACCCCTCACATACACACACACACACATAAACTGTACCCCTCCACACACACACACACTACACCCCTCACACACTTGGGCGGCAATTTAATGTAGGCGGAAAAAAAAGTCGCCCCCAAACGCCATAGCAAATGCCTTGCCAGCCTCCTGCCCTGGGGGACCAAAGAGCAGGCAGGCTGGCCACCTCAGGGCTGGCATCACCCTGAGCTCTTCCTGCTCAGCTCCCTCATGCAACCCGCAGTGATGCTGGAGCCGAAATATGACATCACTCCGGCATCACTGAGAGCCGCGTGAGGGAGCTGAGCTGTAGGATCAGAGCTCCTTCCCAGTACGCCTGAACTGTGCGCCTGTCTCCCCGACCGCCACCCCAGCCAGCAGCAGCCCCACTGGACCACAGGGAAAAATCCACCAAAATGTAAGCAAAAAATATTGGGTTAGTATGTGTTTGTTAGTGAGTGTGTTAGTGTGTGTGAAAGTGTATGTGTCTGTTAGTGAGAGTGTGTACCTGTTAGTGAGTGTGTGTGTGTGTCTGTTAGTGAGTGTGTTTGTGCTTGTCACTGAGAGTGTATATGTGTTTGTCATTGAGTGTGTATTTGTCATTGTGAGTGTATATGTGTTTGTCAGTGAGAGTGTATGTATGTGTGTTTGCCAGTATGTGTATGCATATGTCAGTGTGTGTATCCATTTCTGTCACTGAGAGTGTGTGTCTGTCAGTGAATGTGTATGTCTGTCAGTGTGTGTCTGTCAGTGAATGTGTGTCTGACACAGAGTGTATATATGCCTGTCAGTGAGTTTGTATGTGTATCTATGAGTGAGTGTATGTGTGTTCCAGTGTGTGTGTGTGACACTGAGGGTGTGTGTCTGCCAGGAAGAGAAATATGGAGATGGGGGGAGCAGGGAGGGGGGGAGCTGTGTGAGGTTTGTCATGCCTACGGCCTTGCTCTTTCTGCTATTAATGGTTATGGACACAACACAGTATTCAGAAATACTTAAGGAATTTTCTGGGAAATCCATTTGAACAAAATACTTTTTAGATATGTTCTTTTTTTGTATATATGTATTAGGCGAGTAATTAGGAGTCAGGATTGATTGTATGTTTCTTTTTATTTAAGTGCACTTTCCTGCATAGGGTGGAGAGATGTGGTAGTAACCACTTATGAAGGAGATACATTAACAATCTTTGAGCATCTACAATTTGAGTGAGGTTTCAATTTTTATTTTTATTTTTTTTAAATGTAGGACTTTCCCCTTTTCCATTGGTCACTGAGGCTTTGAAAATTGAGTGGCAATTTGAAGATGGCTGCCACAATCTTAAAACATTATTAGATCTTCAAATATTAATTTCAGGTAAAATTACCATAACTTTATATGTAACATTAAACTATTTATACTGTTTTAAAATTATTTATGGAAGGACATTTTAGATGACAATGCCATGTTAAGGGCAAGGAAAACAAATGTTTCTCTGTGTTTTTTAAGACAATGTCAAGATTACTGTCTAGTGGACAGACCTCTGTAAAGATTTTTGAGTGTGACCATCTCTCAACATCAAATGTAAAATGTCTGAATAAATGACATAGTATTGTAGACAAGTAATGTTTATATACAGAGGGTAAGTATTGTTTTAGAACCTGCGTTCAGGCATTCATTGTTCCAAGGAAATGGGAGCACAGTAGACTCCTTTGTAAAGTGTGTGGGAGCAAGTGAGTGTGTAAATGTGCAGAAGATTCACAATGCATGTGTGTGTCTCCCGTATTTAACCCAAAATATAGTAAATGCATGATGTTAATATATATTTTTATATATCAAATTGGATGTTATGGTAAAACTGGAAATAACTGAAGTCTGATTAACTTGTACATGTGTTCAGGGGCGTACCTGGAGCATTTGGCACCCGGGGCGGATCCTATATTTGGCACCCCCTCACCCCCCTCCCCTTAAAAATTTAAAAAAAAAAAATTGTCTTTAGAACTAAGAAGTGTTTTTATTTTTATGTTTTAGCACCAAGCACTGTTTGTGTGTT